TGAAATAAGAGGTAACCAAGCTTGAGTTGATTATCGCACAGTGAATTGAAAAAGAATGCTTCAGAATAGTCATCATACACAGCCTCTTTACTTGACGCGCATGGTGCACATCTTCCTTTTTCTCTTTTTCAATTTGTTCACGAGTCACTTGAAGATTTGACGTATGACAATGGTAAAAGAAGTAACCGTTGATGTTTCATGTGGTGAAAAGCAATGATGAGGACAAAAAGAGACATGAGATAAATTGAATTGAAATATCTATATATTTTTTTTTTAAATGAGTTTATGAAAGATAATTGAGAAAATTTATTAAGACACAGGAATCTACAAGAAAAACATGTGTTTGGATGTCATATTAACTTTTCATTGAAATGAATATTGTTTTCTTTCGGCATACTATATTAGATTGATATATAAATATGCAATGATTCATGGATGAAAATGATAGTCAAAAAAAAAAAGAAGAAAACTTAAGACATATATTTGCCAAGAATATCATATTCTTTGGTAATTGAAATTTTTATTTTGGTTGTATTTTAAACAAGTGACCATTTGTTAATTAATTAGTTAATGTGAAATTGAATCAAGGATTTTGTATATTGTTGTTAAATATAGAAGGATGAGAATGAAGATGACATTTCATTTGATACAATGGATACTAAGTTACCTTAATTAACAATGCAAAAAGGTAAAAGGGCAATCTTGTGTAATAACTATTTATATCGTTTAAAATGTATAAACCATAACGGTTTGTTCATATACCTTTGTACATTTAAATCATGCCATCGTGTTATTATTTTATAAAATGCTCCAATTTTAAAATACAATACGTGCTGGTCTTGTCTTTCTCCCACACTCTCACATCCTTAAGATCAAGATTTTAATTCGTATCAAATAGTCTCCCAAAAAGATTTTCTCATCGATATGTTTTTCAAAAATGCCAAAGATAGTAGTAACGAAGTACATTTTTTGTATTTTTGTTTTTGGTTCATGTAGTTGTGATATAGGTAAACAAATATATATCATATGATATTATTTTGATTCTTCATTAACTGAAAAGTAACTATATTTTGAAAATTCAATAAAAACGAGGCAGTGGAATTTTACTCCTTCCAAAAAGCGGCCATTTTCCACTAATTGGCTTCATTTTTAGTCACCATTAATACGTAACTATAATTTGTTATAGCAATTTTCTACTGTATTGTGTATTCTTAGTTTTCAAATCATCTCTGAAATGATTGTATAATCATATTGTAAATCAAATAATGATTGTAACACAAGTTTAGTAATGAATTTCGCCCTCAATGGCATCTATATCAAATATTTGCTCACATTTTTTGTCAACAAAAATAATTTACCAGCAATTCAAAGAATAAAGAAAAACTATTTATATCGATCTTCTGCTTTTGTTATAAATATCTTACAAATAGTGTCTTACATTGGTACGATTTTTTGCATCCGAACCCAAACTGACACTTTTTTTATTATATCTGGACCCAACCCATATTCGAATAGCTGTACCCAGTATTTGACAGGATCCGAACCAAAGCTAATCGACATTCGGCAGATACTCTCACAGTCACTGTACAGTCTTCAAACTTTCATTTTATACGAAAGTAAACAAAGTGATGGAAGATTCGCTTCGTGTCTTTCTGCTTCTAAAATCTGATCAATTTTGTTAAGTATATGCTTGTTTGTTAATGATGATGCTGAAATGGAACTCAGTGTTGGTGTCAAACATCATAATTGTGGACACATACATGAATGATTTGTCCATCACGATAATACATGTTCATTTTTTGGTAGTTCATTTTCCTCTCCATGTATTCAATTACTTCGTCATATGATTCCTCATCATCTGTATATCAGTTTTCATTAAAAAGAATTCTCTTAGTAAATCAATATTGCTTTCTACTTCTGTGACCTGTTCTCAAGTACAATAAACTGCATGATCATGATCGAGCTGATTTTCATTCCTATGTTTATATATATATTGTAACTTCAAAAAGTAAAAATATTTTAAAATGTGGAGACTCCATATATTGCCGGACAGGGTGCTGAACACCCGACTCGGTTGCAGGACGCTGCTCCGAAACAAGATGTGAATAGTATCTTAAAGAGTACGGTTTGTTTTTTATATAGAATTACATGACATTGCAGAAACTAATGTATACATTATTTTAAGCTATATAACAACTAATATTACATATAATTCATTAGCTTCGAAACAAATATATAGAGAGCTGTATTATTCATTTATATTAGTAGAAATTGCTAGAAGTTATTGTGGTAATTTAATTTATTGATTAAATTTTTTTTCGACATTCTGTGAAAGGTTTCAACATGGTTGCAGAAAAAAATGTTTATCATTTATTGTATTTCAGATTTTGATTAAGAGGTTGATTATTTTTATTATAAAGAGGGATTGTGAAATGACTTTCATCCATAATTGATCCATGTTTTTTTTGTAAGACTTCAAATGAGTTCTTACTTTTCGTTTCTCAATTGAAATTCATATTCAGAAGACGGTTGATAGATCAACAACGAATTCAATTATTTTACAATTGAAAAGCCTCTCATTTTTCCAAGGAACAAGAATACCTTATGATAGATATTAATTTTTTTTTCCATTATTAAACACGTATTTATTTATTTATTCTTGGTTGGCTTTATTTATATTGATGTAAATGTTGAATAATATTCAAATATATTTCCGTTTGTATTTAAACATATTATACATATATCAATTTCGACATATGTAAGGAACCTGTTCTACAAAAAGAAGATTTTAGGATGAACTGAATAATCTTTTTTTTCTTTTATAAATCTTGTTCTTTTTATATTTCAAAAAAAACAATATATATGGATGCTAACAAGTATAGTCATAATATCTAATTTATCGAATTAGATATTTGAAAATATTTTTGAATGAAAGTACTTGTTCTTGGTCTCATCATCGTTTTTATCATAAGTCGTTGCTACTGTTTGAATGATTACATTTTGAACAAGAACAAAAAAAAACCCGGATAGAAGATAGTTTCTATTCAAAGAGTATTAATCATGAGATATTGAACAAGATAGTATGTTTACCTTAACTATAGATCGTACAAGAACAACTATTAGCTGTTAAATGAGTTTATGTATTTAGAATAATAGAAAATGAATAATTTTTCAATATTTTACTATTAAATAGATATCATACTGCTGCTCTCTATCTATTGTTTCTCATGTGGTATCGAAAGTAGGCATGTTCGAACAAACAGAAAAATGAATATTGAACATAGTTTTAAAGCGTTTTTTTTTCTTTATGATTTGTTCAATTAACCACACCAAATGTCAAATCTTCTCTTTTTCTTATTGGAGAGTTTATTTTGATATGTAGTACTGCTAACTGATCATGATTGAAACTTAAGCTTTTTACATATATAATTAGTAAGACGCAATTTTGCATTAACTTTGTTTTGAATATTGCTTTGGAAAGAAGCATGTTTACAACTTTATCTTTTTTTTTCTTTTGTAAAAAAAAACAATATTTGAAAGATGAAAAACATACATAGACTCAACACTTTCCTTTTAAAATTTCCTACAGACAATTAAAATCAATGATAATTATGTTCATGTGTCATATGTTTAAGTACATTCTACAAATCGTCAATTGGTTCAAGAATGTAATGTATGAATTTTCTGATTTATCGACGTAACAAGTATCTTTTGTGCATCTAATCTTCATAGAATTTATAGATCAATTGGACTTGTATGCATTCTTATAAGTATATCACTGTTCACAGACTTCTTGTGTTGGTGTTATAATTCGTAATAATCTCTTTATCAGAGATTAATAATCATAGAACAAATGATAATTGAAATATTTGGATGGTGTTTACATGTTTTGCATTTGATGATCCTGTCAAAAGATTATTTATATAAAACAATACATAACTTGTATGACAATGTCAGTTAAAATAAAATATTTTTCAGTACTCATGTCAATAAATAATTCCTTGAATAAAGCTTTCTTTTGTGTATGTATTCTTTCACCTTTGATATATCTAAGTATTTAATGGTTATGCAATTAACCTGAGTGATTTAGATCGTACGAATCACTTGTGGTTTTAAATCAAACACATCTTTAAATAAGTCAATTGCCCCTTAACTAATAATGATTGTCTGTTTTGAAAAATTCGAATTATTTTTTTACGTTTATTTTTGGTCTTGGTTTTTTTCTAAAGAAATGTTCGTGACATTCGCACATGCACAAATTTTGATAAATATGAAAAAAAATCCCGAATTTTCGTTCTAACTATTATATATGAATATAATATCAGATTATCAAGATTCCTAGTAAATTGTGCGTTACTAAACAACCGTCTGATTCTTTATCAGTATCTCAATTGCCAGATTTCGTTCAGATTAAATCACAATCCAACTAGGGATATCATCAACAAACTATACAAGAAATCGTATTGCAAATCAGTTCAATGAAATAAAAATTTTTGCATAGAACAAAAAACATCAAAGATGCAACTAAACAATTTGCCTAATGAACAAATTATTGCTTTGTACTTCATTGTACTCGACTTCCGTTCATCCTCTTTATTTCTTATTTTCGTTGTCTATTTTTCATTGTTCTTTTTTGTTGTTGATCTGTTCTATTTGTCTCGTTTTTTTTACTTTCATTGCCACCTCTCTAAAGATCGAAGGTAGTATCTACAAATATAACTATGATTAATACTGCATTTTTATATTCCTTTCCATTTTCTTATTTTTGCATCTTGCACAAAAAACATTTGTTATATTTTGATTTCTCCATCTTACTTCAGTACATATAAGTCGACACCGTCTCCTAGTGGCATATGTAATTATATGAACCACATAATCAAATAAATATCATTAGATCGCAAACAAGAATATCAATTTAATTCACACTGGAGATATTTTGAACAAACGGTTTTTATTTCTGTATTATATATCAATACGAAAAAAAAATAGTACAATATAATTTACATATCTTCAACACTCCATAAATAGGCTTCTTGTGATTTAGCATGCCGATTAGCAATTGATTCAAATAATTTCCTTTCATAACCATTTGATCGATCGACACCATCCCATCGATAACCAGGCCAAATATCAAACCTAAATATATATTATAACTTAAAACTAAATATTAATGGATTTATATTCGTACCTATTCTTTTGAGGATCAGGTCCTCTGTAACGAGGTTTAGCTGGAACACTATTACTATTATTCGTTCGATCACCTACATCAGATGTTCGATTGGAAAGATATTTGAGCATTGGATCATCTAGTTTAAAAAAGAAAACGAAAATATTTTATAATCATTCAATACTACCTAGTAGGAAATAGAAAGGCAACAGTTAAATATACGGATATTTTGAATACAAAAATTTCAAAATTTTAACTATTTCATTTACCTTCACGTTGTTTTTGTTTAAGCATCGTATCAAGATCTGTATCATCTCGATAACGTGCTAATGGTTTTGCTGCTTGTTCCAAATAATCTTTCGCAGCATCTTCTGACTGTCGAACTTGAGCTAAACCACGACCCCATTGTGCATATCGTTCAGCTACTTGTTCTTTGTGTTCAGCTAAACGTCGTCGTTCCGATTTGGCTGGTTGTGAAGGTGGTGGAGATGATTCTTGTTTTGATCGACGATTCGTTGTTGATGATGATGATGGTTCTTCTTTTGGTTGACGCCGATATGTAGATGATGGTGATGATTCTTGTCGGGAATGTCGATCATTTCTTCGATGAGATGGTGAAGATTTATCTCGACGTCTTGGAGGACTTACATCATCATCATCATCTTGTGGTTGTCGTTTGCGATGAGAAGAAGTATCACGTCGTGTTGATGGATTTGAACCATCATTATATTTGTGTTTTTGTCGAAAAGGTGAAGAATCATGCCGTCTCGGTGGACTAGAATCATTAGTTGTTCGATGTTTTTTTCGTGAAGTAGAAGAAGAAGAAGAATCATCTTGTTTTCGTCGTGTTGGAGATGGATCACGTCGTCGCGGTGGACTAGGATCATCGTCGGATTGATATTTTCTTCTTGGAGGAGATGAATCATCATCGTTTTGATGAATTTTTCGTCGTGGTGAACTTGAATCATCAACTGGTTGTCGTTTTCTTCTCGGAGGAGAAAAATCATCATCATTTTGAAGTGTTTTTCGTCGTGGTGGAGATAAATCAGGATCGTCATTTCTTCTTGATTGATGTCGATCAATTTCAGGATCACTATCATCAGATGAATTTGGTTTTTGACGAGACTTTAATGATGAAAGAGTTTTTGTTGATTTTGGTTGAGGTCCTATACTACCATGTTCAGGTACTTCTTCAAAAGCTGCTGTACGCCAACGTTTAACATCATTAAAACGTTCTTTTTCACGCATTTCTGATGGACGTTCATCAACAACACCTAATATATATTAATGAGTGTAAGAGTTTTATTTTTAACAAAAAAATTCATACCGACAATAACTGGAGTATCTTCAAACGAAACAATTTCATCATCAGCTATAATACCAGATTCTGTTGCTGTACTCCATGGTACTGGTGCATCATCATCAACAATACGTACATGTCCAGGATCTTTTGATTTGGCTTTTTTATCTTTTTTTTTCTTTTTTAATGTTGTAGTTGATTCAATTTTAAAACCCTTACGTTCAACTAATTCAGTCATATCTTAAAATTAGAAAGAAGAAAAAAAAATTTTAGTATTTTTTTTTGTCTTAATGTCAAATGAAAAATAAAAGACATGACCAAACATCTTTTTTTTCTCTAAAATAATTAACATCAAGGAAGAAAAAGTTTTTAGTTGCATAAGTATACGATTGAGACAAAAAAAAAACCAAAATGTTATTGCACTTAATTACGACATATAATAAAGCTAAAGGGACTTTAGATAAGACATACATCGATCACAAATTTGTTTTGTTCTTATTGTAGTAGACAAAAAAAGAAAAAACTAAATAATGATAAAGATAAATGAACAAACATTGGAATAATAATAATAATAATGAATTAAAAAGAGAAAGAAAAAATAGAATCGAATCTATAAGATAATAATTATGATTAAATGGAAGGATAGACAGATTATAACAACACAGAATGCTAATAAATATCATGAAAAAAGAAAAGAAAAGGAAAATTAACTTTCTTCCATATCTCGAAATGCTGTTTGCATACGTTCATTGAGCTCTTCAAGATCACGTTTTATTTTTTCTTCACTATCTTTTGTTGGATCCTAAATTAATTTAGAAATGTTATAATATTCAATTGAAATATTCAATAAATTAAAAATTTACCTTAAATTTCATACTACTTAATTGATGAATAGTATCTCCTAGATTTGTTCGTATATCATTCCATGTTATTTTCTTTTCTGATTGAGCTGTTGTTTCAACAGCATGTCGTGCTAAATCATAAAATGCAATCATATTACGAAGCATTGCAACACATTTATAAAATGGACAATATCTTTAAAAAAAAACAAAGCAAAATAAAATATATAATTTCAAAGAAAAAAACAAACAAGAAAATATTTTTTTTTCTTACTTATCATATGATGAATAACCATTTTGTTGAAGAAAATCATCTTTTATCATACGTGCTACTTCAAGTGTTATTTTATCTGTTTCAGCTAATGATGCTTTACCAACAAGTTGTACTATATCAGAAAGATCTTCTTCTTCTTGTAAAATTTCTTTACACTAAATTAAAAATAAAGAACAACATTTTGTTTTCATATTTAACATAAGAATGAAATTCATACTTTAGCACGTAATGGTACAAATTCTGGATAATTTTTATCATAATAATCATCAAGAGCACGTGTATATTTACTATATGAAATAAGCCAGTTAACCGACGGAAAATGTTTTCGTTGTGCTAATTTTTTATCTAAACCCCAAAATACTTGTACAATACTTAATGTTGCTGATGTAACTGGATCAGCAAAATCACCACCAGGTGGAGAAACGCTAAAAATAAAACAAAAATCATACATTTTATTTTATTTATTCACTGTCCTGGACAAAACTAATCGTCTCCTCTTCCATGATGTGACACTATTCTTCATGATATTAAGTTGATATTTTGGATGCATGCATGCAACAATAAATCTTGATTGCAAGTATCAACCCGCAACATATACAGCAAAAATATGTACTCAAAAAGTTTTTGTTTGTCATTCTACTATTCCATAAGCTACTACTGTTTCTTTTTAGCTCTAAAGACAGTCTCATATGTCCACTTTACTATCACCAAAGCCCATGACACATAATCAAGATCTTAGTAAGTTCAGTGCATGTGAACCGATATAGGACGGATTGGTTTTGTTGCATGCATGCATACAAAATATCAGTTCAATATCTTAAAAAACGTTAGCACTTCATGAGAGGATGACACCTTTTGTCCAGGACTGTATCTTTTTTTTTTCGTTTATATGTTATACTTACGCTCCGACAATGCTTACAGAACCTTCACGTTCTGGATTACCCAAACATCGAACACGACCAGCACGTTCATAAAATGAAGCTAAACGAGTACCTAAATAAGCCGGATAACCCGAATCTAAAATAAGCAATCGTTATTATGGTTTTAGATTTTCAAAAATCAAGATCTAACCAGCAGGCATTTCAGCTAAACGACCAGAAATTTCACGTAAAGCTTCAGCCCAACGTGATGTTGAATCAGCCATCATAGCAACATTATAACCCATATCACGAAAATATTCTGATAATGTAATACCTTTAAAGAAAAACAAAAATCATAAACTTTCAATAAACATTAATTAATCAAATTTACCTGTATAAATCGAAGCTTCACGAGCAGCAACAGGCATATTCGATGTGTTTGCAACTAAAGTTGTTCGTTCCATAATTGATACTTCTTTACCTTCTACTTCCATTTTTAACTACGAAATATTTTTTTTTACGATAAATCACATTTAAAAAAAACAAAGAATTAAATTTTTTACTTGAGGAAAATCACGCAATACTTCAGCCATTTCATTTCCACGTTCACCACAACCAACATAAACAATAGCATCACTATTAGAAAATTTCGAAAGTGATTGTGAGATAACAGTTTTTCCACAGCCAAAGGCACCTGGAATAGCTGTTGTACCACCTTGTACACATCTAAACATATCAACAAATTTGTTTTGTTTTTTTTTTGTCAACAAAACAAAATTCAAATACATACGGAAATAATGCATCTAATACACGTTGACCAGTTAATAATGGATGATTAGCTGCAAGTTTTTCAACTACTGGTCGCATCTGTCGAACAGGCCATATTTGAAGCATTGTATGTTTAGTTTTTTCTCCATCAAATTCTGTTTCAAGAACAACATCCTATTCATTTGTTTTCAAAACAATTAAAATCAAATCAAGTAAAAAAAAACCACTTTTATTCAACAAACCTCAAGTGTATAATTGCCTTCCGGTGCAATATATGTTATTGTTCCTTTGGATTTTGGATGTAGCATTATTCGATGTTTAATCATTTTATTCTCTGGTACTGTGCCAAATATATCACCACCGGTTATATGACTACCAACCTAACAAGAAAAAAAGATGAAACAAAAAAATATATGAAATTCAACTTAAAAAAATAAAATAGTCATACTCGGATACGATTGTCTGGTGCAAAATTCCATGATGTTGAACGACTTAATGCAGGTACATTGATACCACGTGGAATGTAAATACTCTGCGTATGCTCATAAATAACTTCAAGAGGTCGTTGAATACCTATACGAAAAATTATCATATGTATAAAGGACTTTTTTTTTTTAAATAAATCTTTCTTACCGTCGAAAATACTAGTCATAATGCCAGGACCAAGTTCAACTGATAATGGTTTGCCTGTTCTTAAAACTGGATCACCAACCGTAACACCAGCTAAAAAAGAATATTTAAAATACATATTTTAATATTGAATGAAAATCTTTTTTGAAATACATGTTTCTTCATAAACTTGAATTGTTGCCAAATCATTTTCTAAACGAATAATTTCGCCGACTAATTCTTCATGACCAACACGAACCTATACAAAAAAAAGAGAACGAGTCTTCTATTATGTTTTAGCATACAAACTTTTTAGCAAAATCTTTTAATATGAATTTCTATACATAAAGGATCGAATATTGTTATTAAATTTTATTTAGTTCATTATGATCATATTTCAAATACAAAGTAAAAACACAAAAAAAAAAACAACTACAGTTGAACTTCACTTTTTCATAAACTGATGAAGGAAGTATTCCAATTGAGTAGTTGCTTTTGAGTTGAAACTATGTGCTTCACGTAGATCCTAGTGAGTTATGAATACTCGGAAAAGAGTCTGAGCCCATAGCTTATTACTGTCGACATATTACATCTTTACGGTATATTTTTCAACATAATGACATTTTTCCTTTTACGAATACTAGGAAAACTAATTTTCGAATTTCGATTTGAAACTCTCCACAGAGATTGAGTTTATCGAGAATAGTTTAGTATGAAAGTTTCAGATATTTTCGCCATTTCTATCCCAAAATCCCACTTGTCTTTTACATTACTCATATACATCAGTAGATTCGATGGCCTTATTTCAAGAAAGAAGCAAATCAAAAGACCGAAAACCTTCAAAACACACTATTCTAGTTAAGATCTGTCTCTATGCAAAGTTTCAAGTCAAAATCTGAAAATGAATTTTTCTAGTGTTCCTGAGGAGGTGGCGACAGTATTGACTTCAAAAATACCGTAAAAATGCAGTATCTCTGAAGCCATAAGCTCACACCAAGAAATCTTTTCAGGGTATTCCCAGTTCATTAGGATCTACATGATGTACATAATTCAGACTCGAAAGTAATTAATCAGTTGGAGGATTTCCTTCATGAGCTTTTAAATTTCGTTGCTGTTAATAATGTTTAACAAATGAGAGTGCTTATTTTTTTTCGATCATCATTTTCTTCATTATTATCATCATTTTCGTCTTCTATATGTTGATAAACGTACTAATTCATTTTTTTATGTTAATCAATAGTCGAAATAGTCTCAACACTTGAATCATCATTAGAATTGTTACAATTATCAAAATTTGATTCTTCTTCGTCGCAATGAAGTACAAGATGTTATTCATCCATATTTTATATATTTACTAAATGTGTATTACTGCTGATGCAATAGACATAGAATATTAATTGGTTTCTCTTGTTTTATTCTAGCTGAAAATAGTTTTTTCTTCTTTCGAAGAAAATAGATTTTCTTTATGCATAGATAAGCTATTATTTTCTCTTCAATTCTTTCATAACTTTTACTCTCCGATAAACATGATTCAGTAATAATTCAACAAAGACTTTTCTCATAAGACCTGGATCGTCTATTATGAAATTCACATTGTTCTGCGTAGAGGATCTTCCAACATATATGGGGAGGTTTATAAATTCTACCAATCTTACCAATTCATTAATTGCCGAACCAGCCATATGGTTAGCTATAACGACTAAAATAAAAACAAAAAGAGATTAGCCTATTCATCGAAATAAATAAATTTTTCATACCTGGACCCGAAACTCCGAAGACATAACCATATTTAGCTTCTCGTTCAACACCAGCTACTTTTGGAAGTTTATCTCTACTAACCATGTCTTTATTATAATGACAAGAAAAGAAAATCAATCGATCTAGAACGAAAATTGAGTTTTTTTGTTTGTTTCAATTGTAATAACAATTAGTAGCAAAAAAAACCAAAAAAAAACAATAAGAACACAAAAAAAGGAAGTATACATTAAACTTTTTTTTCTTTTTTAGTTTTTTTAGTTTTTCTTTTGGATAAATTCATTTCATCTTGATCATCATTTAAATGGCCACTACTAGATGGTAAATTTGTATTTGTTGATAATGTTGGTGTACTTGTTGTTCGATTAAGAATACCAGCAACGGGTGTTGTTGTTTGTTGTTGTATAACAGGTGTTGCATCAGCTGGTGCTTTTCGTTTAACATCTGGTGATACACGTGATGTTTGTTCATTAATAACACGTTGAACTTGTGGTGAAGGTCCAGGTATAGGATTTGTAACTGGTGGGGGAAGAAGTGTTTCTGCTATTGGTGCTGAACGTGGTTCTTTAGGGGAACTTGTATATATTTGATATAGATCAGGTAGTATTGGTTCACGATGTAAACGGAATGCACTAAGTTGTTGTTCAGTAAGTGGTAGAATTTCTTTTGAAATAATTGGACCAGCAAATAATGAACGCAATGTACCAACACCACCATGTGCATCACCAGCAAACGAAGCTGCTTTATGATGTGCTGTTTCAGCTAATGGAATATCTGTTAAAAAATCACTTAATGATGGTGGTATTGGTTGTTTAACATATTTATCAAAATCACGACTTAAACCCCAATGAACAATAAGATTTGTACTACCAGTTGGTGGTTGTTCAAGTGGATAATGACTTAAAAGATAGAATGGTGGTGATGGTCGTTGTGGTTGAAATTGTTGTTGTTGTTGTGATGAACCAGAGTCAAGTATAAGAAGATCATCATGTGGCATATTTCCATTTGTTTTTGATATATGATATCCCCCCGTTAAACTCATATTCTTTTTTAATCTAAAAAAAAAAGAATGTAAAACCAAAACAAAGCCATGCAAGTCTATTTTTTGAGAGCAAATTCAATGACTAAATTAAAAAAGACCTCTACTATATAAGATTTGTTTTTTCTAGCAAAAAAAAAGACACAAGTCAAGCAATTAAATATTAATAAATAAAAACTATTGTATGAAAGACTTAGAAACTCATTCATGTATTCATTCATTGAGATTTCATTTCTTTTTTTTTATTTTGTTGTCAATTAATTGTTGATGCTAATCAGTCATCTTCCCACACATATGTACGAGTATAAATAAAACCTTGTTTTACGGCTGCATCGAATGCTTCGCGTATTCCTATGGCACCAAATTTATATGGAATAATTTGTAATTTTTTCTTCTCAATTTCTGCGAGTATTGGATCAATAATACGCCATGCTTCTTGTAATTCATCAGAACGTACAAAATTTATTTTTGAACCCATAAATACATCAAGTATTAAACGTTCATATGCATTAGGTAATTTTACACCTTGATATCGTTCATTATAAGTTAAATCTAATTCAGTTTCTTCAATACTAAAATTCATTTCACCAGGTCGTTTTGTATTTATTTTAAGATAAATAGCTTCATCAGGTTGTATACGAATCACAAGTTCATCACGAGCTAATGTTCTTTCAACATTATTTTCCGATAGTTCTTCATCAAACATTCTACCAGGTACATCACGAAATTGAATACGAATTTCAGCTTTTCTTTCATTTAATGCTTTGCCTATAAACAATCAGTTTTTAGCATGAAAACTTTAGAACATCAAAACAACAAATTTTAATACTTCTAACTATGATAGATATTAATGTAGATAGTGAGTAGTATATTGATATACTACAATTATTATGCACTAATATATTTCATTGAGCAAAGGTTCCAAAATATGCATTAATATTTAAAACACAATAACACGTATTAGAGATAGGATCGGTTCCAAAGGAGCACGAGCCAATTTCATCTCTAGCATGGAATGAGTGAAGCAAATTGGACCAAAGGATGTAACTACAGATGCAGAATCTACCGCTAAAATAAAAATATTTTTTCTAACGAAGAGAAATTCTTCAAAAATTTGTTCTATCATCAAAATAAAATAAATATACATATTGAAAAAGAATCAAAAGGCGTACAAAGCTACTACGCACTCAAAATAGCGTTATGTAAAAAATAAATTAGTTTTATCAAGCATTGAATAATACTGATAGTCTTAGTACTTGGTTATTCTAGAAACTATTTACCACAATTGAAATGAGGCTTAAAAGTTTTCATGTTAGATATTGTTCACTTCGTTTCAATTGTCTCCAACCGTGGTGGAACCACCGAGGTTGCGATGAAAAGTTGCAGATAAGGACGATGAAAGTAATAACTTACATTGAGGATTAGCAGGATAATGAAGTTTTCTAACCTGTTATCTTGCCTTCAATAGTTTCGTCGTGGCTTGTAGCGAACAGTTTTTTATGTGTATTAGAAAAAATAAAATAAAGGTTAACCTAAACAGCAATCCAAACAGACAAAATGCGCTAGTACTATCCAGATTCGAAGGACATAACAAAATAAAACAAAATGTAATATAGGATATACGCACATCGAAAGAGAGATACATTGTCTGATGAAACGAATTGAACAAAAAAGAAGTTGGATTGTTCCCTGTTGAGAAATCAACCGTTTAATTTTTACATGAACAAAGTTTTCATGTAGATTATAATATTTCTCAAAATTTTCTCCTACGCGTGTAGGACCACACTGGTAGATTCTGCAAGTCTGTATGTGCCACATATACTTTCCATTTATGAGAAATTGTCATTTCTCCTTAACTGTGTCGGGACATTTTCTTGTCGGTTGCTATAAAGAAACTATTTTTTCTTTCAAAAAAAATCATAACCTTTCTCCTGTATCTCAATGTTGATTGCTTCGAGGAAGAAATATGTAAGATAGAAAGCGTTTTCCAAGGTAATATGGCAATAAAAAAAACTCTTGCTCTTCTTTAGAGAATATTTTGATTCCGAAAAGAGAATTTCATCGGATCGTAAGATTACACTAGTACTAAAGTACACGTTGAGTTCTACATCATTTTTTTTTGAAACTAAAACTATACCTGCACGAAGTATGAAGGGAACACCATCCCAACGTTCATTCTTTATAAAAAGAATGATTTGTGCATATGTTGGTGTTGTAGAATCTTTTGGTACATTTTTATCATCTAAATAACCTAGTTGACGCTCACTGTCAGTTGATTTTTTTATCACCAATATATTGTCCAACAATAACATTTTCTAATTTAATTGGTGCTATACAACGTAATACTTTCACTTTTTCATCGCGAATATCTTCACCAGTTGTTGAACGTGGTTTTTCCATTGCAAGAATCGATAAGATTTGCATTAAGTGATTTTGTATGACGTCACTTTAAAAAAACAATCAATCATAATGTTCAATTCAAATATAAATATCATCTCAATACTTCATTTATTCAGTTCAAAACAAATAGAACTTCTCAACCATGGACAACAACGTGAGTATTAGATGAAAAAAAATGAAAGTGAGATTTTTGATGGTTTGAATAATGTAAACTATATCATTGGCTAATGACCAATTAAATAAAACGAAAGATTTTGTTCCGATTTCTCAGTTTACTGGAAAAAATCTTGATCATAAAATAAGGACACTTTTGTAACGACCTGAAAAAGAAATTTATGTTTTTCTAAGAGAAAGTAGAAAGAATGGATTAGCATATTGTATATATTCTGACAGTAGAGTGCGAAATCTTTTCAGTATATTTATAGTTCATTTGGCTCTACACAATGCACGCAGTCTCGACTCAAAAGCGATCGAACCGTTAGAACACTTCCTTCCTAAGATCTGAGCTTTTCAAAAATTCTTCGTTTTCTCGGCTTTCCATAATTATCTTGGCTCAGAAGCACTTTTCAACCTAAATAATATAAGATTCAGAATCAACGTAAGAAACTGCGTCGAATAATATGTAGTTTGTTAGTTTTATAAAATAAAAATTTGTTTGTCAAAAATTGAGACTAAGGATTTACTTTAGGAATTTTTCGTGAAAAAAAAACTTTTTTTCAGCGGTTACTATTTTCTAAATAGTAGAAACGCATATTTTTATAGAAAAAAAAAACAATTTTTACAAAAAATAAGTTATGTCCATGTGAAACTCTATTTTGAATATTCGTCTTAAATATGATAACAAATAAAATAAAATTCATTCATACCGAATAATACCAACTTCATCGAAATAACTACCATGCCCATGTGTTCCAATCTTTTCTTTAAAAATAATTTGTACCCCTGCAATTGAATCTCGATTCCAAACACGTGAAAATATTCTATTAGAAAATCGAAGTACCAATATATTTTGTACCATTTCTTTTCCCAAATAATGATCAATACGATAAATTTCTTCTTCAGTATATAATTTATTTAAATGTTGAGAAAATTTATTTGAACTTTCAAGATCTTTACCAAATGGTTTTTCAATAATTAAACGTAACCAACCAGGTCTTAAAAGACAAAAAGACAAGCCAAATAAAAACAACGACAAAAAAAATATAAAATCATGCTAATTTCCATACGATGCCGGACGACAATGTTTACTAATTAATTCCGATACACTTTCATAAACATTTGGTGGTAAAGCTAAATAAAAAAGTCGATGAGCATTTACTTGATGTGATATTTTATTTGCTTTAGAATTTAAATTTTCAAAATCTTCAGATTTATCATAAGAACCAGAAATATATGAATTAAGTTTAAGAAATTTTTCATAAATATCATGTTCATCTTCTTGAATCTAATCGAATCAAATTAAAAAACAAAATAGATTTTCAATACAAAAAAAAATATTTCATCTTCTTACCTTCATATATTTATGAGAATTTTCAAATATTTGTTCAATTGTCAATTGGCTACGAGAATAACCAATAAAAGAAATATTTTTCGGTAAAACACCATCACGATAAAGCCACCTGTCAAAAAAAAACATGAATCATATTTTATTTTTTGTTTCTCACAAACCAAAGTGTTGGATAGATTTTCCTTTTAGCTAAATCACCCTAGAAGAATTTAGAAACAAAAAACTAGAATTTTATTATTACACAAATATATTAAACATACAGATGCACCAATGATAAAAAACACATATGATTGAGATGTTATTGATGATTCATTGCTAGTAATTTGTGTACGTAAACGTTCATAAATATAATCAATTTTTTCTACTGTAAATTTTTTTGTTGTACTCATGATAATATGGTTGTTTTCGTTAATACTACACGCAATTAACGTATAAGTGTTTAATTCTAATAATTATTCCTTGTATTCAGATTAAGAAAACCAAAATAAAAAAAAAAAAATTTTGTTACGACATGTTGACGCAAATATAAATAAGATAATATCTAATTTAGTCATATAAAGACTGACAAGCACTGTAAATCAACGTCCAATGAATCGTGTCATACGCCAGTATCAAAGATGTCGTACTTATCAATATATTCGTTCTGTTGCATTTACCATAGCAAATCTATATGTCAATAATAGTTATAAGCACGAAATAGTATGTTAAAGAAATAAGTATAAAACAAATGTTATTATTAGTATTTTCGATGAAATAATTTCATGTATAAAAGATTTTCAGAAGTATTGCATGAATTCTTATACAGATTGTAGAAGTTTCATCCCATTGATCTGCTTTCAATGAAGATATATTGAGCATACACAATTTATTCGTCTTATACATGCAAATAGATTCAGGGTAAATGTGGATAACAGGACACGGAAGAAAAAAATTTGATAATACTGTACAAAAAATTAAAAGAATCGGGGCTCATGTTTTAATTACAACGAATGTCATACATTCTTTTACCTATTTGAAAAGTGTGTAAAAACATATTTTGTAAAACGTCATTTTAAGATGAATAATATAATCGATAAATGGCAACACAGACCAATACAGAGACCCACAACGGTATGTGGAAGTTCTCCCAGATTTTTGAAACCGTTTCAGTTCTATAAATCATCGGATTAAAAAGAAATGCAAAGAAATTAAAGAATCTACCGATAAGAAATCAGGACATGTTTGTAAGAGTTGAGCCTTGGAAACAAAAGCATTTATATTTTACAGATCTATTTCTATGCTGTAGTGGCGGCGTCAATTAAATTCGTCGAAAATTCTAATGATCGTTGGTAGTGACAGTTCAGCTTGTTATTTTATAGCTTTAACATCGCGAGCAAAAAGAAACTGGTCATCTTCTGAGCAGAGAGCAGAATAATGTAGAAAAATAACCTCTGTCAGTTCTAGTGAAAATAAAGAAACCAAATTTTTTCTATACAGCAATGAAGATAGAACAGATCAGAGTTAGGAAACAAAAGCTTAGCGTTTTTGATTATTCAATGCTTGACGAATAGTTGAACTGTGAGTGTTCGTTGTCTGATTCGTTCATCTTGATTCAACTGAACATGTTTTTAAAAATTTTTTGTATTTCATTCAGCATTCAAAAATATGTTTGTTGAAAGGTTTCGACTTTCTATACAAATTTTTAATATATAATTATCGCTAAGCACCGCAGTCAGTCGATTCGATTTGATACTAAAAAAGACATTCGAATCAGACGTAATTCATCATTACTAAAGAAAAAGATAAGAAATTATTGACTCTGAGACAGCTGTAACAAATCGTTTGAATTTTACTGGAAAAGAATCTTGTTAGACAATGAAATTTCTTAAAATTCTCTACCCTTTGATAAAAGCTTTCTTTATCGGATGAATCAAAATACAAAGATTTTCATTTCTAGAATTTATCAGAATATCATGTTCATATGATGTGAACTTCTCCTTCAAGAGATCAATAAACAAAAAATATAGATCTATCTTGAAGCTGTTCAAGTAATAGAGAAATCAATGTCGATTAGGAGTGAAAAATGAATTGAATGAAATAGTCAATTATTTTAAAACAATTGATTAAGAATTTTTGCGATAAGATATACAATCAAGAATATTCAAGAGACAAATTATTAAAAAAATTAGTTTGATAGTCTCTTTCGCTTTGAAAGAATTTACACAAACGTTGTAAAGATATTTTCGGAAAAATGATATCGATTTCAATTCGATTTAATTGTTTTTTTCTTTTACAAATTGACACCATCTTCACAAGTGAAAATCATCTCTCGATCTGAAAAATAAATTCATTTTTTGTTTAACAGACAAACAAATTTTAGAAGTCTAAAATATTTGATATACAAATATTTGTAAAAGATTCAAGAAAACGATCAATTTCTTTGTTTTTCTCATACAGTCACTTTTAATTGATCTGATTTTGTTGAGATACATTCGTAATTTAGTTACTCTCTTATTAATTCTGAAACTATTCGTGTATTTCACATTATTTGATCATATTTTTTGGAATGGTTCTTCAATCTATGATGTTTACCATAAAACGTTGAAATGAATATAAATAAAATACTTTATAGTTATATTGAAATATTTTGTCTCAAGTAAAATAATCAGCATAGATGAATGAATCACCTATAGTTTGTAAAACAAAACAATAGATGTCGCTCGAAAATATGCGCGAGAGATAAAAGAAAAACTAAATGCAATGCAACGCGTGTAGTGACCGTTTAAGGGAATCCAACGAGTTAACGGAAAGAGTGTGAAATGAATAGATGTCACGGTAGAGCTTTCATGGCGGACCAATAGGATTTAGAGTCTATAAAGTATGGATATTCTATATTTTACTAAAACTGAAGCTCATTGGTCCGGCGTTAGAACGTCAATGTGACTTCTATTCATTTTACAGTAATTCCCTTAACTCGTTGAATTCCCTTAAACTGTTACCACAGTAATGGCTGATGGATCGCTTATACCTTGGTGTTTCTTTGTTTAAATTTAAAATAAAAGCGATCGATATGTATACATACATTCATAACATATACAAACCATGTGTTTTCCACACAAGGTATGCTCATAATTTTACTCCATGGTTTAACGGCGATCAAGGTTTTATTGAATATATCATCTTTGAATTTATTGGTATAAAGTATTATTGATCTTAATTATCATGGCATTTTTTTCCCGTAATCCTTTATGTACAAGTACTAAGGAGGTTTGTTAAACACACATCGAATGAGATTCTAATTGATTTAAAATTATCAAAGAAAAAAAAGAATCACTTTTTAATTTTAGAATGAAGATCCAAAACCACCAAAAATAGTTGAAAAACTTCAAACTGAAATTAATCAGTTGAACATCGAGTGGGGACAGACATTTAAAGATCAATTGCAGGAAAATCAAAAACTTCGCGATCAACTGCAGGAATATCAAACGTTTAAAGAAAAACATCTTCAAGATATTCAAGATATCATTGAATTACTAATTGATGGAATGATAACAAGAATTGAACGTGATACAGGTGGTGAAAAACGTGAATTATTATCTGATGATGGTAGTGAAGAAGGACGACCAAAAAAAAAAGCTCGCATCAATTGATATATTAATATAACTTAGTTATATTAAATAAAAATATAATTTTCTTTGTTAAATGCGAGGTTTTTTGTCAAATGCATTTTTTTTCTCAAATATAATTTTTTTATCAGATGCTCAGATGCAATTTTTTTCTCAAATGTAGTTTTTTTTGTCAGACATCATTTTTTTTTGGTACTATCGCCTTAAAAAATGTGTACATGGATGTTCATTAGAGTCCATCGGATCCAAGAATTTCTGGACCCGGATCCGGCCGATTAAAAATTTTTGCACCCGGACCCGACCTGGACCCAGTGAATTTAATTTTTCTGGACCCGGATCCGGACCCGGTCAAATATAATTTTCAGATCCAGACCCGGCCGGGTCCGGTTCAGGTCGCACCCGATGGGCTCTAATGTTCATCCTTTTCTTGCAAATGATTTTTTTGTACAGTTTTTTGTGCTTAAATCTAAGACGATGTCTATTTTTTTGCATATGTATAACATTTAAATGATTAAAAAAATGCAATTAAAGGACTCGATGTTTTTGACTAAAAGCAAAAAGAAAATACGTTGAACAAGATAAGAATATAAATCCTGTAGTGTAGGATTAAGTTAAAGAATTTCTTAAATAGTATTTGTTACATTTTATAAGATATATGGTGGGAAAGTTTTTGATTTACTTAATAATCAAAAAAACGTTTACGGGTATTAGAAGATCAAAAAAATCTTGTTCAAGTTTGTGATCGAAAAGAACAACAAGTTAAATCTGTTCAAGATGTATTAAATATCATCCAATGTAAGTCGTTAATAATGTTTCTTTTTCTTTAATTAAAATTCAATATGATTTAGATGGTATGAGTATTCGAACATCTGGTACAACAGCAGCTAATTCAGATTGTTCTTGATCACATGCTGTTCTATAAATTATTTTTTCTATAATCAGTGACATCTATCATAGAATTAGTTTTATAGAATTTGAAACTTATTTTTCTACATAAAAAAATTTTCGTAATTAATTATATTTAATAGAATAATTTTTTCTTGAGTTACGGTTGCTTAACAACATGAGGCAGATATTCATTGATTATGGTAATTATATAATCGATCTATATTTGTTGTTTGTTGGGACAGATTAAATTTGAAAAAAAAATGCAAGTAGCAAATCGAACAACTCGCCGTTATGTCACACCATCTACGAAAACTCAACCGGGAAATAATCGTTCGACAAGCAAAAATCGTTCTAATATTCCAAATGTGTAAGAAAAAAAATCGCAAAAGTGGATTAAGGCTATTTAAAAAAGAAGTATCTGAATGATAACTAACTCGATTTTTTTGTGTATTTCTCGGCTATTAACTATCTAATATTTTGGATAAAGAAAGATTCAGACTTTAGATCTATGAAAACTAAAATATTGATATTTTTTGCTTGTGGCTACACAAACCTCGAATTACGAATAGATGATATGCGTTAATATTCAGATACTGTTTGTTATTGAATACGTGTAAAAGAAAGTTTTATATAAATTGATTTTTAGATCCCAATCTTCGCCAAAGAAAGTTCTTGATACGCCAATATCAAAATCAAACGAACCACCAACATTAAAAAAGTTTGTTATTTGAAATGTTTAAAATAATTATATAAATTTATTTGCTTTAGATTTGTTGATCGTTTTCGTTATGATGAACCTCAACCTCGACCAGAACGAGATTCAATTAATTCTGATTTTTGGTGGTTACATGGTAGATTATATATTATATTATTTCTATTTTCTTTTGTTAAAATTTAGATGAATTAAAAAATACTTGTTGTTCGAATGCTAATGAAAATGCTGAACGTAAATCAAATATTCCAGAATACATTGAAGTAAAATTGTTTTTTGATAATAAAATGATTGATTATTGTTTTTTATTATAGATATTTCCTTCGACAGATATTGATCAAGATTTAAATAAACGAGCATCTTTACTTCTTAATCAAACATTTAGTGCACATTCATCGGATGTCGGCCATGTATCAAGTACAGGTATTGGTTCGACTCCATCATCAACATTAACAAGAACAACAACAACAACAAATACTTTTCAACCTATTGTTCATGAACAACCAGCTCGACCAATATTTACACGAATTAGTATATAAGAATAAAGCATATATTTAATAATCTTTTGTTTATTATTTTGTTAGCGGATTCAAAGTATAATTTTACAAATGATGGTAGTGAAGATGATATTTTATATCAATGGCGTTTACGTAGACGATTAGAACAAGCACAAAATGGCGAACCCATAACATTTCCATCGAAAGTAATTATCAATCAATTTAGATTATTAATCTGTGTGAAACACGATCTAAAAGAATTGTTGAAGTGTAGAGATAAAAATTTGAACTTTTGCGTCACAGACTGTGATAGATATTGGTATACGACCACAGACTGTATGAAAATAACGTTTCATGTATAAAATATGAACTACTTCCTTATTGCATTTCTGCAGAAGGATGGTGAAGAAATGTATCCCGAAACCTATAGAATACAACAATCTTTCTATGATTAGCAATAGTAGATACATCGTATTTTACATTTTATCTCTCAGGACTTATGCTAATAGCTTTTATAACTAATTTTTGCAGATAACCAATCGAACTCGTGTATCTCCAGTACGTTCATTTTTACCTTCAACACCTATCGAAATACCAACAGTACTTCCACCACGTCCACCTTCTCCTCCAGTTATTAAACTATCATCACCTAAACAAGAACATCAACAATCATCAACGACAAATATCGAAACAGAACATATAAAACAACCTGTTACAACTCTAATACCAACTCGACAATATTCAGAAGCATGTACACAAACATTACAAGTATATTTATAACTTTTTCTTTTTTTTTTTATAAACAAAGAATTTCTCTTTTCTGTTTAATAATAGGATGCTTCTATTCAAACATCATTGACTATTGAAAATCATCTTTCTTTCTCAAGTTCTGTTCCAAATGAAGTTGATCTTCGTCCAACACGTGATAATGATCATCATTCATCTATTTGGCATCGTCCACCACCACGATCAAAATGTGAAATAACACGAACATCATCATCACCATCACCATCACCTATTAAACGTCATCATCATCATCATCAAAGATCGGTCATAATTCCCTCAAATACTGTTCAATCTTCACAAGATAGTACATTAACACAAGTTACATCGATCATGATTAATGATAATAATAATACGGATAATCATTGTCAAATTAAAAATACTTCAAGTATGACTGTAATCGATGAATTTCATGAAAGACAACAACAAAGTAGTTTTTATAATGTATAAATGAAAGAGACAAATTTGATTTTGATCTTTAGATACTGGTGCTGATCATATTGATTATTCGAATGATGAAATATTGAATATATTAATACAGAAACGAGACGAATTACTAATAGCATTTCGGTGAGATTTAATAAACTATAGGTTTTTTTCATAATGTCAAGAACTATCTATGATTTTTTTTCTCCATATTTAGAGAAATTGAACAACGCTTGGCAAATATAAATTCTGAATAAACTGAAGTTTTTTTCTCTTTTTATTTTATATCTCATGTCAGATTTTGATTTTTTTTTTTTTTGTTTTGAATATTAATCCTAATGATCTGTTTTGTTTATTATTTCTTTCATATTATTTTAATAAATTGTATTATATAACAAATAAGATATGTGAATAGAATAGATTATTGTTGATTTTAAATGTCCACCCATAAATACAACTCACGACATTTGAACGTAGATCAAAAGATTTAGTTTACGATATCGCATACCAAGGTCATCGTGAACAGTATAAATCTAACTCTCGCATGCAAGACATCTTCTCAAAGGCAATGAAGATGCAATCTTATTTGTTGATCTTGATACTTTTAATTATCATTTATTCAAGTAAATATATTCGTTTGTTTAGTTTTTTTCTTAATATAATACATATGAATTTTAGCTGATGCATGGATTCGAGTACGAAATAAAGGTGGTTATATAGCTCGATTTTATGTTGATTATCATTTACCTAATCTACCAAAGCAAATTTTTGTTTCTGGTTTCCAAATGCCTATAAAATTATTCGAACAAACATTATCATCTGGAAATTATCCAGTAGGCAAAACAAGGGTTATTGGTGTACCACGCAATGCACTTACTGCTCGTGTTCGTGTTGAACGTTTTATATTTTATCCATTTTTTGGTTGGTATTGGAAAGAAATATTTCGTCAAGAAGTTGGTCCTCAAGATAAAGTTTGCTATGATATTTGGGGTACAACTGTTCACCCCTTTTGGACAAGTATTACTTGTTAAACAATAGACATGTATGAAATATTCTCGTACAACGTAGTTATTAGTAAGATTTAGATATATATGTGGGGAATAAAAAACGAAATATAACTCAAAGTTTAAAAACAATATGATTGAATATCTTTGATTTGTGATGAAATTGTATAATTGAATGGATTGCTTGATTGAAATTGACCTTTGGTTGTAATAGTATGTGTATGAAACGGTGCAATTTTGTTAAAACGTTTGTGACGCACTAAAGAATATGAAAAGAAATAACAAGATGAGTCAAATTTGTTTTTTTTGTTTTAGTATAAATGTCATCGATAGAAACGGTTGATTCTTTTCTAATCAATCAATTGAAAATTTTCATTTTTAATGAAAAAGAAAAACAACAAAGTGTTTGTGATTGTGCAAATTGATTTGATAATAATTCTTTCATATAAAGATCGACAGATGAGATATTTAAAAAGTAAATTAATATATGAAAAAGTTTAGCATTCAAACTGTTTCGTAAAAATAATAACGTCATTTATTTGTCATTAAATATAGATAGACATTGATTATAACAAACTCCAACACACATTTTCTCTATTCTTTACATGATGAACTTTGATATTTATATTGTACTGCTATACATATCCTTGATGATGTCTTGTTTATATTTGATTAAAAAAAAAATCTATTTCGTTGTTTTTATAGACTGTGTAAAAAAATGATTGGTGAAAATGATTTAACAATTCTAATCAGTCAAATATTATACAGTAAATATTGTCAAGATTTTATTACGTATCAAAAGGGTATCAAACACTTAAATAGTTGTAAAATAATGCTTGAAAAAGCTTTGAGAACTTTAAAAATATTCTCTTTTTTCCTAAGATATGAAACATTCATTTTATATTCTTTATAAATTTTTAGAAATATCTTTCAAATGATTACTTTGAAAACAAAAACTAATCTCTATGAATATATTTGTTTCTTTACTAACAATACATACTCGTTTGTTCAGCCGGCGGGATTCTATTATAAATAGAATTTAATCCATTTGACATCATAATGCAATGTTCGTTTCTTGATTTTGTTTGATTACAAAATTTTTTCATTTCACAATATTTATCAGAATGATTAGATTGAAATATTTCTTTCATTTCTGATCTATTCAATTTCTGTGAATGAGGATTACAATTATCTAAGACTTAAGGTGAATTAAATATTTGTTTTGATAACTTAATCGTATTATTATTATTATTATTATTAATGATGACAGAGCTAAATAATATCAAATTATGAATTTGTTTTGTCTCGAAAAATTATTGTTTTTGCTTACAAGTTATAATTGTAACAATTATATGAGCACATGAAAAAAAAAATTTAAAGAAAAGATAATTGTATACGTATGTATATAAAACTTAAATGTAGCAGTTTAAAAATGAACAACAACAGATATTGAGCGCGTACGCGTAAAGTTTGTGAAACGCAAAAAAGAAAAAGGAAAGTTCTTGATATAGGTGAAAAATATAGAAAAAAGAAAGAAAAATGAACAAACATATACGAATGGTAATATTTACAGAAAATAAAACAAACATATGACCATTCAAGTGGAGAAGAATGTAAAAAAAAACTGGAAAACTCTTCTGATATTTTTTCTTTTTGTTAGTATATATCTTTATCTTTCATCAAGCTCAAATAGCAATAAAAAAACAGATACCTAAAGCAAGTAAGGAAGAAAGAAAAACACTGAACATGTTAACATGTTGTTTTTGACCAGCATTCCAATAGTAACCACCATAACTATTTCCTCCTGATGGATACATATTCGATGAATAACCTGGACGATTATAAGAACCTGAATATTGATTGCCATACGGATTGTACTGTCCCATTCCCTGACCATATTGTGAATCTAGAAAAATGACAGAAAATTGAGTTCATATTATCGCAATAAATAACAGTATGTACATTATATTAAAATGTATGAACTAATTCAATAAATATATCTGAAACTCTTTACTTACATTGTCCAGAACCATACTGATTATAACCACCCATACTACCATATGGATTATAACCTTGTGATCCGTAAGGATTTAGACCTTGTGATCCGTAGGGATTTAGACCTTGTGATCCGTAAGGATTTTGACCTTGATATGGATAATATTGTCGACCGGCTTGATTTTGTCCTAAGTTAGAATCTTTGGATAATCCCATTCCACCTGGATTAAGTGGTGGGCGTCCTTGAGCATTTAAAATTTGAGGATTTGGTCCGAGTGGTTGTTGTCGAGCTTCTGGTTGAGGATTGAATGCATTTGCTTGCGAGTTTGGATTAGCTGCTTGTTGACCAGCATTTAACATAGACTGTCGTCGAAGACGACGTGCTCGATTTGCATCAATTGCTGAAAGCAAAAAACACACATTGATAATTGATACTGAATCATTTTCATACCATTTACATATACATGTTTTACATGTACATATACTTAAACATATTCTGTTAAGTTATACTTGTTTTTTATTACTGAATTATCTGACAGAAAAAAGGTCATCGCCAATTTTTTTGTCGTACATTTAATACATTTGAACTATTTTGTTATTAATCTCTGTCGAACTTTTTATTTTATATTTTTTTTAATGAAGGTCAAATACTTCAAGATACAGAATTAGAAGAGATGTCAATTATTTTTAATCTATTAATCTTATATAAAATTTGTAATAGTTTGAATTTTTCATATAAAAATATAATTAAAGGTAAAAGAATTTGTTACAATTATGTTGCTCATATGTTTCGCGTAGAGGTACTTACGTACAGCTCATATACTTTTGAAATATATTTTCAAGGTTATGCTCTTGTCTGACACCTACTTTTTTATTAATGTAAGTTGTCAACAACAATAAACTACTGTACATACTTATAATATTCAATAAAAAGATAGTGATGATCACTTTCCAAAGCACAGCCATTTTATTTGATTAAATTTTGTAGTTTAAATTAATATTAAATCTAATTGAAAAAACGAATGGCAAATCAGTTATGGTATATGTTGAAATAAATTATGCAAAATGTTAAAAAGAGAAAGAGAGGAAAAAATTCCATTGACTGAATGTTCGAATTCTTTTTTCTATAGTTTTTTTTCCTTCCCCTTTTTTTTTCTTTCTCTACTTTATTAGTAATAACTATCATAAAACAAATGACGACAAAAAAAAAGAAAGACGAAGGAGTATGAGAAATGACGAATGACACTAGTGAAAGGAGCTGTTGAGTGCGCATACTAGCATAAACTTTTCTTCTGTCTCGCTTTTGCTTTCTCTCTCTCTTTCTCTCTTTCTCTCTTTCAATTTTTTCATTTGGTACCCTCTGGTGCGGTTACAATTCTTTTTTTTTTTTTTTTTCGTTCCTTTCTTTCTTCCTTCCTTTATACAAACTCTCTGCAGTATTTTTATAAACGTAGTAGTAAATTTGTCATCTGTCCTCTTTAGTTCTTTCAATGGTACACCTAGACGAAGAGAACAAAAATGTTAAGCGCTGCGACTATCTCGCTCTGTCTCTGTATACATACTTCATGACATGAGCTACGGTCAGCAAGCAAAATTGTCATCTTTCTTTCTTGTCATGAAGTATGGGTCAGCATTCGTACAATGTCTTGTGTTTTTCTTACCTCAATGTACATAAACATAAAACGATAAAGCATTTCTTCTGTTTCGTTCTACGTAATGTTAATGGAATTTTTTTTCCTCTGTTGTTTGTCACCTCTGTGATGTATTTTTTTCATTAACTATGCAGTCTGTCTGACTTTCTGTCACTATATTCGTCCTCATCGATGCATGGTACATGAAAAGCATATATATATATTTTATCAACGTATGAAACATCATTGAAAACCATAATGTTCTGCAATGTTCTGGTTATTGAAAGGCAAATAAAATCATATTCAAGCCACAAATGTACATACGCGACTGGTGATGAAAAAAAGAGAAAGACAACGAACGCTGTTCACTTTTTTTTTACGAATGTATTATGAGGAAAGTTATATGTATAATTTATATTTTTGTAATGGCAAAAAAGAAAAAAAAAACAATATAATTTCGTCATATTGTTTAGGCTCACGCAAGCCATTAACGATGAGAACGTCAGTTACAAGAAGAAAAACAGAAAAACATAAACCATATTGATAGATTTTTACAGAAGATTTCACTTTTTCCTAACATCTTAAAACTTATAGAAAAATGCATCTGTTTTTTTTCTGTATGTACGCTAGTAATCAAGAATATTACACAAAACAAATCTGCTTTTTAATCAATTCCTATTTAATATAGATTATCGATATTAGTATTTTATTTTCTGACCGTTTTCAAGAACAATAAAAGAGAGAGAGAGAGCCATTTGTGGTGAATCATTTTATATAAATCATTAACGTCGTTAAAGGACAGAAATTACATCAATATTCGATTAGATTTGTTACGAAGTAATCATTCATTTTTTTACTTATATTAACTTGCTTTTGAAAATAACAATTCAATCTTTAATTAGAATAAAACATATGCATCAGGTATAGTATGACATAGTTTTTTGATGATTAACTGAAAATATAAATAACGATTCGATTAGTCAGAATGGTTCTCATCGAAAGAGAAAAAAAACATATGCCAATCATTGCATTTATTTGATACTACCCATTTGATTCTGAAGGTTATTCTAACAAAAAAAAAAAGCAAGGAGACAATGCTTTTTTTTCATTTAATAGCACACATGCCACGATTAAGTTCATCAATGCCTACGAATAAATAACATTTCGACAAACAAAAAAAAAATTTGCATAAAATTACGAATATTTGAAAAGTCTAAAATTGTATCTCTATGGAAGATGTTATATATTTTACTACAAAATGAAAAAAAAGTTTCAGAATATATAAGCTTATTTACTAGTTTTGAAACAATCAGAGACCATTCTCTGTGTTATCTATCTTCTTTCATTGGAATATTTATGAATTCAGAAAATTTTCAATAGAGTATAAAATTTTTCTTTGTATCACAAAGTCCTATATTAATATTTTGCTCTCGATATATGTGAATTTAATAAAACACTACTGTTGTATTCTTCCAAATATGATTCATATCGTTTTATTACATCAAAATTTTTGAATTTTTGTTTAATATTTTGATTTTGGTTTATTTATTAATCATTTATATATTCTTTTTTCTTCTTTTGTTTTTAAATATTGGATAGAGAATCAAGTCAAATATTCGAGGTTTCAGTTGATTCATGTTGTGATGAATCATTACCACTGTTATCATCATTAATTGCTTTAGTTTTTTCATTTAATATAAGATAACATTGTGATCTGATTGCTTTGCCGGATACGTACAGTTATAACAAACAATGAACAATAGTTTTAATGCATTAACCAGAAATAATGAAGAAGAGAGGGTAGAAAAAAAAGTACACGTTTGTTCATTTAAAAGAGATTAAAACTGCAATCGAGACTGCAAAAATAATGTTCAATATCAGAGTAAGGAATGTTCATCTATGGAAGACGCATTGTCAGCTAAAACTGTTTCGTCGAACCGAGACCTTGTTCAAAATGGGAGGTGTTCACTAATAGACGTTCCACTGTACTCGCATAAAAAATGATGACTTAAAATTGTTTGAATAATTTGTTTTCTTTTTTCTTATTATATGTTGTTCAACGATATTCTATTTGACGAGGGAATTATCTCAACTGCAATTCGGTGTTTGAACCTATATTGAATCCACAAAGAAGTTTCTGTAAGACTAGAAAAATCTTAAAATGATTCATGCCCATAAGCCTTTGAAGCCGAGTTTTGACTGTTTTACTAAATTTTCAACCTATTCGCAGGTATTTACTGGAAAATCAAATAATGAAATTTCGATCTAAAATTCAGCTCATAGATAGACCTAATGATCCGTAGCATATTCTGAAGGTGTCAATCAAAAAGAATGTTCATTTGTCGAAATATTAAATTTTCAACATATAGTCGTTTGTCACAAAAATCCAGTTTACTTAGAAATTCAATATCTTGACAAAGGAACATTATTTTTGACTCAGACTTTCAGGATATTCCAAGAGCCATTAGATCTATCTATGGACAAAACTACAGATCGAATTCTGTTATTCGATTTTTCAGCAAATGTCTACAAATGGGTCACAAATTCAGTAAAACGATCATAACTTCGCTGCAGAAATCCGTGGACACAAACTCTTTTAAACTTTTTCTAGTCTTGCGGAAACTTCTTTGTGAGTTCAATATGAACTCAAACAGCGAGTTACGGTTTAGGTAGTTCCCTCGTGACATATTAATAATAAATAAGATCAGAATATTACCATCAGCATATATTATATTCAATTGTAATAGAAAAATTTGAACTTTTTTTGTCAAATCTTACCATTAATGTATTGAAGTATCACTTAAAAAAAGCATAAAGCATAGGGAAAAAAAGTAAACTCAATAATTCCTTAAAGTTGGCCGGAAATGTAATATTCATTAGAAACAATGAAAAAGATTTAATTCAGCAATTCAAATAACAAAACTTACCATTTTTGTTTTTCAATTTCATACGAATCTCATATAAAGTAATCGTAAAATTTTCATTGAATTAATTTCATTTATAAATTGATAGAAAGAATCAAAAACATCATCAAACTCATTCTGTTTAACTGAGCTATTTAAGAATAAACAAAAGAAAAAGGTTAGTTTGACCAAGTTTTATTAATAATAGACTTTTGTTATTTATTCGATGCAGCTGAAAAAGAAAAAAAAATTATGTTGACGACCATTTTAATCATTTTTCTTGTACATGGATCGTTGACAACAACCCAATAGGCGGTCTTTCTCTCTCACATTTTCTTCACTAATCAACCTTCTTGTTTAATAGTAACAACAATATATGACTGAATTGATCGAAATTCGTCCATTGAAAACAGTAAAGCAACAACGATCTCCTACATGTTCATATGCATTTACAACAATTCAAGCATCATCATCTGATTCTTCAGAAGATGAAAGTAGTTCAAATGATGAATCACAATTCATTCTTAAATTAAAACCTTCAAAATCATCAAAATCATCAAAACGATCAAAACGAAATAATATGATTCAAACGTTACCAATAATTTTCAATGCGCAACCAGCTAAAAAAAAGAAAAAATCCCATGAAAAACATATACAACAATTTCTTATTAATACACAACCACCACCATCACCAACGAAAAAAGAAATTGTTATTAAACAAATAATGGAACCTTCATTATCACCAGAAATTCAATATGTACCTATATCAGTTCCAACACCACCACTACCGACAATAATCGAAAGAAGACCTCTTGTTTATCAACATGTTTATACACCGACTTTAGTTGAAGAACGTTCAAATGGTTTTTATAGTTCTTATGAACCACCTGTTAGACGAGTCGAACGAGTTTATCCATCAAATACAAAAAGTGTTCATTTACCAAAACATGCAAAACAATTAGTTAATCGTTTTCTAGCTGGTATTGAACATGCACATAGTCGTCGAGTGAGTGAAAGATTTTGAAGAAAACTTCGTTTTCTTTTTTTAAATCTTGAAATTTTGATTGAAAATAGTATGATGATGGAAGTGATAGTGATCATAGTATTGATGATTGTAAAGTATGTCGTCGATTTCGATCAGCTATGGATGAAGAAAAACGAAGAAGTCACAGTGACGTAGATATATATCGTGGTAGCCGAGTTATTTTCGAGACACAGGGAAGTAGATTGAAAATGAAATACAAAATATCTTTTTTTTTTTTTCTCACTGGTATAGGAACCATATAAACATAGACATAGTCATTCAAAGAATTGTAAAGTATGTAATTTATTAGAAGAATCTGATTTTGTTATTTCAACAACAAAAGATCATCCAACGCCTAGTACAAAAGTGCGTTTTATAGATTATTTAATATGACAGTATTTTCTTTGATGATTATGTTGTAGAAACGAGAAAAACATATTCATGTAGTCGAAAGTTTTCCATCAATTGTTAAACCAACAGTAGAAACAACAACAACAACAACCACAACAACAACAGAACCAAAATTAGTAGCTAATAACACATCAACAACACAATCAAAACTAGTGGCTAATAGTACATCAACAACAATTCCTCCTATTCCAATACAATCACCTTATTATCCAATGTCGCATACGACTTACGTAGATCCGAACACTGGTCTTACTTATGCTTACGATCCAAATTGGCCATATAATCCATCGGGAACAGGAGTTACCTATGATTATTCATCTTATTATACCAATCCATCTTATTATACCAATCCGTCTTATAATACCAATCCAGCTTATATACAAAAGTATCTATCTTGAAATTCTTGCTATTATTCATTTAAAAAAAAACGCCGGCAATTGTTTTTTTTGAATAACTTTTGGTAGAAACGAGGAAAAGAGTTGTAGTTTTCACTATTCAAGAGAGAATACTCAGATCCATCGAAGTAAGCCGAAATCTGATTGGACAGCAATTGATCAATTAGGTGAGTTCTTAGCGACAAAGTTAAAAATGAGATTCTGAAATCTCTTCTCATTAGATTTTGATGTGTAATATGTTCAATCGATAGAGAAAAGTTTCCTCTTTTGATCTACGTAAATCTCAATTTCATAGTCGCTTCCGTTCAAGAGTTACAAGAGTTTTCCTGAACCATCTCAATTTTAGCTAATTAACTACAGAAGGCTTCAGAAGAGCTCCAGACAGGGCTCCTCCATCACGCTGAGTCGAATAATGATGGTTTTTCTTAGTTTTAAAGAGGGCCTGAAATTACTATTTGAACATTTTCAAAACTTCGATTATCATGCTGTATCGGGGAAGTTTTTGAACTTTCAAGAATATTGAAATAATAGTCTTAGATCGGTTTGAAACTGAAAACAAATATCACCATGCAACTCAGCGTAATGAATTAACCTTATTTAGAGCCTTCTAATATCAATCTGCTGAAATACAGAAAGTCTCAGAAAAACCTTTGTAAATCTTGAATGGATGTGGCTATGAAGTTGCGATTTGCGTAGATCGAAAGAGAAGACTTTTCTCTATTGATTAGCCATGTTAAACGTCAAAACCTAATGAAAAATACCTTTAAGATCTCGTTTTTAACATCGTTGCTGAGAACTCAACTGATTGGTCAATTGCTGACTAATCAGGTTTCAACTTACTTCGATGACTTCAAGTGCTCTCTCTTGAATGGTGAAAACCCTAGCTATTTCCTTTTCGTTGCTTTTGTCAAAAGTTATTCAAAAAAACAAACGCTAGCATTCCTATTTGAAATGAATAATGCAAATGATTGTATTTGTATTATCCAGTAGTATTCCACAATATGAAACGTACAATACTACTGTACCTGCAGTAACTGTTACTTCCAATCCAACAACACAACAACAAGAACATATTCAAACAACAACAACAGCAGTCAGTCCTAATCCTCTGATTGATAAAGGAACATATACATATATGCCAACCAATCGAAAAAAGCACAAATCAACTAATAAAACAGTAGTTGTTCATACATCTCGAAATCCAACACCACCAACACCAAAAATTATTATTGAACAACCACATCGATCTCGATTACCACGAAAACTTCAATCAACCACCGTATTGAAAGAGCGACCTACACAAACACCACATACAACAACGACTACTTATGTTCGAAATTAAAAGTCCTATTCACTCTTGCTTACACAACCTTATCCTTTAACTGACAACAATACAAAGTAATCCATGAACTGTAAAAAGAACCTATATCAAGCAATATCTTGCTAACAAATATCGACAAATTTTTTTTTATTGTAATTTAAACATCATTAGCTTAATCTATATACTTTAATAAAAAAAAGACAGTTTCTGAGCAAAAAAGATTTGTGACCGTCCGTTCCTCTAAAACATTTATTTGTTTTTAAATCAATGTATGAAAAGTAATATCATACAGATACAAATTGAAAAGACAAAAAAAAACTAAGTCTATGCTATAGAACTAATGAAGATTGCATAGAATGTCTTGATAAGAACAAAATGAATAATTTATTCATGAAAGTGAAGTTTATATCGAAAATAAATCCTATCAGAGATTGTATAAGATTTCATTATACACTACAACTCCGTGTCCAATTGACCTACATTTTTTGATTAGACTAAATAACTCAATAATATTTATATGTGTTGGATTGATGAAAGATTTGTATCACTGTAGATTATTGAATTTTGAACTAATGCATAATTTATGCTGAAAGCATAATTCAAGTGGAACATAATTTGAAAAGATATATTTCATTGGAACTTATTTCTGTTGATAGTTAACAAATTCTTTCTGTTGCATCATCATGTTTTTATAAATAAATGATGTCTATTTAATTCATCGAAATAGTTTTCATTTATTTATTGTGAAAATGTGACTGAGTATATATTAAATAAAATGTGGAATCTATAGTTAGATAGTTGATTTATTTGAAAAAATAGATAATTAAATGAAAACATTTTTCTTATAGAGAATGAAAGAAGTAGGCTCTACGATGGAAGAAGAAAAGAAAGATAATAACAGTTCATCTTTCTTTCAAGCGTAGATAGGAAGATATTCTCCTATTTCCACTTCTTATACTTTCATTAAATATTGTGTTTTCCGTAAGATATGGATCATTTATTTAGCAAAAGACCAAATAGTTATACTTTGGTTTATATATTACGGTCAGAATTTCAAGGGCATATCAACAGATAAACAATATAGATAGTTCATATTGTTTGCCAGTTGACTTTTTTTTTCTTTTAATATGCTTTTAAACTTTATATTTTGTCTTACTTACATTCACAATCTACGAACAAAGTAAGTGAATGGAAAACTTAAAAGCATTGTTCAGTTAGTTCATACTTGAAAATATTCGAGTTATATTTATTTAAACAATATCAGTCTAAATCAATGTTTGATAGAATTCTATATTGAATTCAAGAATAATATTTGATTCAGTAGTTTATATGAATACCTAATGTAATCATTTGATTAAACATCTGATTGGCTTTCATCGGTAAAATTAATTTGTTCAATTATTAAACATGATAACAACCGCTATCTAATATATATATATATATGTATAACATTGAAAGTAAAATCACTCGAATAGCCAATAACTATGAGTTTTATTCGAAATTATTTGAAAACTAATAGTGAATATAACTACATAAATAGTCTGAAATTTTATTATCATAAGAATTCATATTCATGCGTTTTGTAACTCTTGATAAATGTAACCTTTAATATTATCTGAAGTGTGGACGTTATCTGATAATTCAGTCTATGTCAAAAGCGTAAAATTTCGAACTAGCATTGATCAATTATGTTCGTCTAATACTAATGCATGATTTAAATATGGCGAATGTATCAATAAAACATAGTAACATTTTTCGATTTTCATCTATTATCGTTCATTTAGAAAAAAAATAACAGTGTTTCTAACTTGGTCACTATGTGTATTAAAGCCTTTGCATTGATTTTTGATCAACAAATATTTATTATAGCTAGTGTCATTCAATTTTGTATAGAAGTATTCATTGTCAAGTGTTCAATTCGCCATGTGACAGAAACAGATGTGCTTCTCAACATCCGACATCTTGCCAGAATATATTACATATTTATTCAATGAGTCACTTAATCATATTTGTCAGTGCAGTGTTGTGAATAGAAATGCTTTTATATTGTATTATACAAGAAATAACTAGCTTCTTATATACATTTCTATTAGTGAAAATATTTGTCTTTTGAAAATAAGAAGTAGTGTTACATAGATAAATTAGACTAATAAATATAGAAACTTTGACCAATATCGGTACATCAAGCATAGTAAAACGTACTATGTAGGTTATAATCTAAAGTTAGTTTATTGCTTATATCATCGAAAATATAATCATTATTATTATTTCTATTCTATATACCTTTATATATCATTGATATTAAAACGAGAATTAGTAATAAAAAAAAATGATTGCTTCTTCTAACTCCATCATTCTTACAAAAGTAGCATAGAAGAAACTATTAATAAGATAAATATTGATATTGTTTTCTATTCAAACATGCTGTTATTTCAACTGAAATATCTTGTTATTATATATATTTTGTTGTAAAATACTAAAGAGAATGGGATTTGTATTTTTAGGTACAGATATGAATTATTTAGATCAGCAAGTGTAATCGATACATTTTTATCTAATTTCGAATAATATTAGAAATCCATTATTTAAAAAAACAAACTTATACATATTGAATTACCGAAAAATTTGATACTTGTTATCATACAAATTATCAATAAGATTGTACAAAAAGATAACATTGACTTCTTGTTAAATAATCGATTTTCAATTTATTTAAAATATGATTTTCCTTTTTAGTAATACTATGTTATCTATGATATGAAACGAATATTTTTCAAATCTTTTTTTTTTGTTTTTGTTAATTATTAGTGTAAATTGAATCTTTGTATGCACAAGAATATTTATTATTGATGGTATTTACTGAAGAAATCATCTGTGTCCGATTCTTATGTGTTTCCTTGTATCATTATAAGAAAAAAAAACCATGACATTTAATTTATCATTGAAATTCGAATAGATCATTCGAGTATGAATTATATTGAAAATGAGAAATATAAGAAGCTTTGTTTTTCTTTTTCTCAAGATAACATAGAACATCGTTTAAGTGTATTAAATTTTTCTTATGTGAAGAGAAAAAAAAAATTTGAAAAAAAAACTGGGATAATTATTATTTTAATAACGCATTATATAAGAAATAAGAAAAAAACTGATTTGCATGAAAAGATCTAGACTAGTATTGATATAACGCGATTTAGATAATAGAGTTTTCTTGGTTGATTAAATAATTTCTATTGTTATATTGTTATTGTTTTTAATTATTTATCAATGTCGGAATAATCTTCTGGATATTCGCCTTCATCTTCCGCACCTCCATCTTGACCTGCAGCAGGTGTTGTAGTTACTTGTTGTGGTGTTGTGTCTTCCTGATCTTGTTGATCTTGTTGATCTTGTTGATCTTGCTGATCTTGTTGATCTTCTTGGTCGCCTCTACCTGCGTCTTCATTTCCATAATTATCATCATCCCCACTTGGTTGTGGTTGCGGTTGAGGCTGTGGTTGCGGTTGTGGTGGATAGTTGTATGGATATTGATTGTATGGATCATAACCAGGATATGATGGTTGCGGTTGTGGTTGTGGTTGTGGTTGTGGTTGTGGCTGTGGTTGTGGTCGTGATGGAGGGTAATAGCCATCTTCTGTTACCTAAAATAAATCGATTGTATGAAAAAAAGATCCGAGTGAACTAGAAACAAAAAATACTTACTTGTAAATCAATCGAAGCTTGATCATTAGGATTATTTGTGCCAGCATTACATTCATATCGACCAGCTTCACTTCGTGTAGCATCTGGAATTGTAAGACGTGCAATTTTACGATTACCTGGAAGATTTGTACTTTGCACTTTGTATGGCAATTGCTAGAATAACAGATTATGCATTTAGATAAAAACAAATTAAAATGCTATATATGTATTTACCTGACTGCCAGATCGTGTCCAACGTGGTTGAGCATATTGATTATGAGGTGCAATGACTTCACAATCAAAATAAATGCTTTGTCCGACAGACACTCGAGCTCCTTGATCAGGTCCATAAATGTATACATCGGCACGGCTTGGTTGATATTGTTGTGGTTGATGTGGTTGTGGTTGTGGTTGATATGGTTGTGGTTGTGGTTGATATGGTTGTGGTTGTGGTTGATATGGTTGTGGTTGTGGTTGATATGGTTGCGGTTGATTGTATTGATGCTGACTGTATGGATCATTACTTTGTTGGTCTCGATTATCTTGTGATGGTTGTCGATATTGAATTCCCATGCTTCTTGCATATTCCCATGGTATACATCTTTCACAACATTCACCTGGTAAAGTTCCTGCTACAAAATCTTTGCCACAATTGGGTACAGCACATGCACGAGGATCACATTTCGGATCTGAATTTAATATAAGAATCATTTTAATCCAATATTTCTTATGGATTCTCACCGTGACGAGCCTGTCGTTTGACTAATCGTCGAAGTAAATTAGTTCCTTCATTATCGAATTCGTGCAACGATGAAGCAAGTAACTTTGTCGCACTGACAAAATAAACCGCAACACATAATACAATAGATACTTGAACGAGTTTCATTCTACAAATAAAAAAAAATATATGATAAGAACAAACCTTGAGTCTCTCTATTATATTGAAAGAGATGAATAGAACATCTTCGATCAACTCGTTTTTTCGTCTCTAATGCAAACTAAAGTTGAAACGCTTTTTTGTATGGTGCCTTTTTATCTTGCTTATCTCATTTTCTTCTATGCTACAAACGTGAGCTGTAGATGAAATGAAATCCGTTCCCTTCGCCTTTCTCGCTCTCTCTCTCCCTCTCTATCACTTTTTGTCCTATGGTTGAGGATGGTATAACCCTTTTTTTCATCGTCATTTACTCACTTCAAGATAATTTTTTTTCTCCTTCTTCCTTCATTCAGCAAGGTTATGTGTACGTGTCCTATCTCGCTTGGCTAATAATCATCATCTTCTGTTTGTTCGCTCTCCCCATTTTTTGGGCTCAGTAAAAGAGAAAAAAGTATATACACGTAAAATTTATTTATATAAAAGTATGAATAGAAACTAAATAGACTTCTTACTTTTAAAACTCAGTAAGCAAATCGCAAAAAAAGAACGACGTCTTCTCAATACTATTAACAAAAACATAAAGAGAGAAGGAGGGAAAAAAAAACCATTTTCATCGTTTTTTAATCAAACGAATGCCATAAAAAAATTATTGTACGTTGTCGACTATAGATCGAATTGTTTATTCTCGAACAATATAAGAAAAAGTACGAAAAAAAGGGGTTTGATGTTATCTTTGTAATTTGAAATTTTGTTGCCATTAAACACAGAAATAGATGTGAAATTTAAGACAAGTCATCTTTTGTCTATCGATCTGTTTACATTGGTAAGTGTCGACAATATTCCCTTCTTTTTTTTTTATCAAGTAACAAGTGTTTTTTCTTTTGTTGTTAGTATTCATATAGTTATGAACGTAAATTTTATTTGGGTTTCATTCTGTACTTGTCATCACTACGGAGAATAAGAAAACTGATCATTCACGACATTTAACCTCTTGAGGACGGAAGACATTTATATGCGACCGATATGGATGAATATATACGTCTCCCGTCCTCAAGGGGTTAAATTACTGATTATGAGCTAAATCGTCGATTCTCATTTCTAATATATAGTTCTAGTCTGATTGAAGCGATTTATATCACATGAGCACTGACAGGCACATAGAATTGTTGATGATCGGTATATTGACCGGGATTAGAAATGGATGTTTTCTACTTTACCTTATAGGGATGGCAAAATGCATATAGGTATGTGCATAGTATAGTACAGGTAAAAATATAATATAACTAAACAAGGACGAGAAAAAAACGGATATACACAGCCAAACACAATTTTTCATCTGCGTCATTAGTGTAATTACATACAATCGGTTTAGTCTTGTTTCACAAGGCAATAGTATATACAATATTATGTAATATTCAATAAAGAATAAAAAAAGCAAGTATGAAAAGAAGCGCAATCAAGCAAGAAATATAGTCAGGAAATTAAATCATTTAGACGTTGTTGTACGTTTAGAAGCAATAAAGTCAGTCTTCATTGATTTTTTTCAGATTATAACCAAAAGAAGAAAAATAATCATTTTCGAATGAAGAGATGAATGAAAAGAATGTATAAATCAAGGGTTTATTTTGTTCATATATGCCTCAATAGGCACATTTCAAACGAATCAAACATTACGACGACTATAATCTGTATGCATGATGAAATTTTTGATCGATTGAACTCGATTGATGAGTTCGAAAGAAATGAATAAGCAGCACAAAAAAAAAATTTCAGATGACTATTCCTTTATAAAACTTGTATCTCTATACACGTTACAAAGTAAGAATAATCGAAAATGAAAACGATAAAAAAGATAAAAATCTAATGATATTTGATACATTATTACAATTCTCTCGTATAGAACATTTAACATTAATTTTAGTTACTTCGAACAGTAATAGAGAACAAAAAAAAAACAATAAAATGTATTTGATTAATATGATAGATAGTATTTTAAATTAATTTTCCTATGATCGAAATTCCTATGCAAGCACGTGTTGGAATGGCATTGATATAAAGGGCATGAGACTAACAACATTTTTTCAAAATGCTTTAAGTATCTCATCATAAGTATCTTTTTTTTTTTTAATGAATAATTATATCGATATAAACCAAATCATCTATGAAATGCTCTTTATAAATTTTCACTGACTCATGAGGAAAGAATATATATGTAATATATGGTAAAGTAACATTATTCTTCTTCTTTTTATTGTCATAAAATGAAAGAATCACTCATCACTCGCAAGTAGCAAAATAGAAGTTTTTTTTTTATCAGATATGACTAAAATGATAAACTATTTGTATAATAGAGAAATATATTTTAATTATTTTTGATTTTTCAACAGATACAGTTTCTCTTTAAAGGAGTTTTGCTACAATGTAATTAATTGTATCTCATATGTACTTTGTTAAAAAAAATTATTTTCAACGATATAATTGAAAAATGAATCATTTTGAAAAAAAAACAAGTTTCGAAATACCTTTAATAATTACCATTGATAAAAAAGAATAACTGATACTTCTGTATCTTTAATACAATACAAATTCCGTTGTAAAAATAGTGTTTAAGAGTGCAAAAAAAGGTTAAAAAAACATCAATATTGTTTAATTATTAGCAACAGAATTGAAAAGGTCAATGATATTCGAACATATTTCTGAGATGTATTCCAAAAGATAGTATATAATAACTCTTATATTCGGTTAATTGTAATAAGCTCAGCTATTAAAAACAATGTAATCTTATTGATAATTTTTTCATTTACTAATTTTCTTCTTCATACGCCAACGAACCACATATGACTAATCAATTCTATTAGCTGGCATTATTTTCATTGAAAACGTATTTGTTCGGTTTTTTTCGTGTTTTTCATTCAGGTGAACGATTGCTTAACTTCTAACAGAAGTATTTTAAATACAACAGGAAATGGTGTTCATTGTATGAACTACATAATGTACATTAATCATATTCCAAGAACATTGCTTCGTTATCATTTCGTCACAATACATTAGGGAATATCATAATCTACTGTATGATTTTATCATTGAGAAGGCATAAAAACCAATGGTCATATGCATTTGATAATACCTGTTTCTCTTACTATGATGATGACCTTTATACTATACTGTAGCCTGGATTAAAAAAGAGCTAATAGCAATTTATTTCAAGAGATTTTAATTGATACTGTACACAATGAATCTTTATGTGTTTATTGTTTGATGAATAGCTCGCAAAGTATATGTTTTTGAAAAATAAATTCAATCATCTACACTCTATTTATGATAGTTAACAGTAGTTGTGAACCATTTTTGGTTGATGATTTTGTTCTCCGAACAGACATGCTTATGTATATGAGTGAATTTCGCTGCCATTGTACGGTTTGACGAAAAAATTCGAAAAAAATAAAAGTGAACAGAGAAGTGGATGGATATGTGCATTGGATAGAGCATAGTTTGTTGTATATGAATCAAGTATTTTCCCGACTGTCATGTCTTCCGTTTGCAAATAAATCGAAATCTATTAGTGTTTGAAAGGTCATTGGCTTCTTGACAAAAAAGAGTTGTTTAGGTGAAGCTTTTTAATATTATTCTCCTATATCGATCAAATCATTTTGAAAAGTAGAATCACGCAGGCATAAAAACAACTTTGTTAGCATATTTGAATACATATACAACAGTATAGTGCAACTGTTATGGTTAAAGAGGTGTACTTTTTCAGCAGCCCGTTGTGTGACTAAGTTATTTAGAGCATGATTTTGCGAGAACCATGGGAAATAAAATCATCATCAATATCAATACTTATTGCAAAAAAAAGAAACTAGGTCGTTGTTTCTTTTTCGCTCGATATAATGCTTGTCTCATTGCCACTCTTTTTCGAAATTTCTTATCAAATTTTTCGATTACAAACGTTTTAGTTGAAGTTTTTGGCGATATTTTTGACAATATGCAGCATTATTGTTTTTCTTTTTGTTTTTTTCTCATCTTGATAATGGTAAGTTAAGATGAAACAAAATGAAAAGACTTTTTAGGTTTGCAGATGATGAGAATCAATTAGCATGGAATCATTCACGTTTCCTATGAACTATAGGCGTTTTACATAATAGTAAATGAATAAAATTCAGATCTAATGGTTATTTGACGCCCTATCAATCCTCACAAATACTTATAAAACATTTTTGAGTTGAGATAAATCAATACAAGTGAAGAAAGTCTTGTTTCTACTTAAGATATATTATTTTAATCTGTCGTGACTTTTTTATGCAAAAAAAATCTGTCGTGACATTTTTTGAGTAAAATGTGATTTTCTCGGAAACAATTCTTGATTAAGAGTTGCAACTTTCACCATAAATTTACTACACAACTAGCTGCTAAACATTAAAAATTCATTGATCGATCTCTTACTGTTCATGAGAAATCGAAGAATCAAAATAATGAAATCTGTCGTGACATTTAGCGAGACAATAGCCACTTGCCCGTCTTATTTTCAGATTTTTGTTTGATCCAGAATACTTTTGAAAATTTTTTTTTTGCCAAAATATTTCTCGCTCTTCACTCTATTAAACAAAAAAAAAAGTTTGATTTAGCTTGTGAATAGCCTTTAGTAGCCTCAATTTAATCTGTCGTGACATAAAACAGTCAAAGTGTATGTTTATACATCATCGCAAGATTTGATGAGGAAATCGATAGCGAAGTTTTCATCAATTTACATTGTCAGAGAGAGCAAGTTCATAGCTACTATCTACCACAGAAATTCTTTTGATCCAGTCAGAATTATTCGATATAAAAGAAATTTTCTGCGACAGATGTCGCCCAACACCTGCCGTTTTGCTCTTATTTCTTTAATAACTCCTCAACTATGAAGCCAAAAAAGCTGATTTTTATATGGTAAGTGGGGCAGACTGAGTGAAGCATTCGATAAAAAAATTGCCAAAATTGGTTGAGTAGAGCTTGAGATATAAGCTTTTTCGTGCTTCCAAAGCAACCGTACAATGGCAGCGAAATTCACACATATATATATATATCATTATTATCTGTAAGATTATACAATTAACATGGCGTTATTACAAACCACTGACAATGTCCGTAAAATATTCTTCGGTACTATGACTAGTATTTTGTAGGAGTTTGATTGTTCGATGATGGTACTGTATGATATGAAGTAGAGATGTTTACTGTCCTCTTCGGTTCTATTCATTTGTTGATCTCTCGATAAACTCCCGTGGTTGTCATTAACTGTTCATCAAAGATCATTGTATCTACCTATGACACTTGTTGTTTATTTTATTTATGACGTTTATGTTTTTATTATATTCCATATTACTAGAAATTTGATTTTCTGCAGCTAGTTTCAACTGAGGAATAGTGAATTTAAGAAACAATATCGTCTCTTTGCTAGAAAGTTAAAAAGAACGTTTTCTTTCTGTTTGCCTTATTGTAGGTTTGCATGTCTGTATTCGCTTCAGATATATAAAAAGAAAGTTACTTCCGTCTGTTTATCTATTTTTTATTCTTGAATTTTATTACTTTGATGGTTGTGAGAAGTAAATGAAATAGTTAGAGAAGTTATCTGTGATCTATTAAGTCTGGACCATTTATTATTTTGCAATTTATGATATTCATGCTGTGAGTGTCATCATCGATCACAATTAACATTTGTGTGACATTTAATTGTATGATCAGAGTCCAGCTTGAACATCTAGCAAAGGTCTATTCAATAGTTACTTGGAATATACTGGAGAGTATACCTGCTGTATTTTGACCTTTATTTTTTCGTGTTTAACCTATATTCTAATACTCAATATATTCGTACAAAATTAAAATTCCGATGTATGTGCATATTCAACATTCATAAAATAATATTGACTCAGTAATACTAATAAAAATAATAATTTCACGTTTTTGTTTTTGATTTAATAAATGGATTTCACGAATAATCTAAGGCATAGAATTATCCATAAGATCTTTGCTTTATTCATTCTTTATACATAAACAAGAGCCACAAGATGAACAATATTAATCATTATTATTATTGATTTGATGGTTTGCTTCTAACATGCATAGAGATATAATCATTAAAACCGAAAATTCTCTAAACTTTGATTGAAATAAAAATAGAATATGCATGAGTGCGTCTTGCTTTTTTCCCGTACCATCCTCACATCTTTACTTATTTGTCTTTTGTTGTAGCAATAGAAAAATGAT